GGACTTCTTTGAATTTTGATGCTGAAGGAAACGCTTCGCGTTCCTGGTTCAGCCAAGGGGACCAACTATTCAGTAACAAGCCTGAACGCTTATTGGAATCAACAATCACACACACACACAGACAATTGTTCTTTGATGCACATGTGGAAAAAAATAATGCTGGCAAGGTGGACTGAAGAACAGTCTGGTAGTGCATGAAGTGGACAGATGGGGTAATGGACGCTATAGGAATGCAACTGCAGGAGTAAGTGGTGCAATGAGGGCACCTGGAAATGCTTTTGTCCAAGAGTTGCCATCCAATTGAACATAACAAGGAGAAGTCTTGAGGATATCTGCTTTGTCCCTCTATTCCAAAATAAATCAAGAATTTATTACTATTATGTAATAATAATTTATTACTATTACTATTATGATATTCTATAGTACCATGTCCATGTGTTGCAAACATTTGCTTCATACTTATTTAAAGATCTTTTCTAACACATGAAAATGTACAAAGTACACATATGTCGGTTAGTGAACAAATATTGAAACAGTAAGTCAACAAGGGTATGATTGTAACATCTGAAGAGGATTTTTCTTTTGAAGAAAATTGAAAGTTTGACATCTGCTGAAGAGATACTACCATTAACACAATTTAAACAAAATTTCCTCTCTCAAGCTGTATTTAACTTGAACCTTCACAAAACAATAGGATGTGTTATGAAACATTTGAACAGTTTTCCAGCCAAAGGAAAAGACAAGGCAATAACAAATGTAAACCATCATGTTGACAGAAATGTATTTCGTAGGGATTTTTGAAATACTGGAACTTTCAAAAAGTGAATTAAAAAAAAGAAAAAGAAAAATTCAAGGTGGTAGCCATCGCAGGCAAAAACCTCATTCTAAATGTTGTGTTCTTTGTTAGAGGGGTCTTAACACAGACTTCAGAATAAGTTGTAACTTCAAACACTTTATTACATAACATTTGGAAGACCTCCTATTTTACCTCCTTCCCCACTTCTCATGGACAACTCGAAGGGATGAAAATTCAAGGTGGTAGCCATCGCAGGCAAAAACACTTTATTACATAACATTTGGAAGACCTCCTATTTTACCTCCTTCCCCACTTCTCATGGACAACTCGAAGGGATGTGTGTCAAAATCTCCAATATGGCGGTCATGGCATTATAACTGAAGCTTTAGCCGCCATCTTATATGGGTATGCATGTACAAAAAGGACAGGGCTTCTGTTACATTGCTATGACCATCAACTTGCATATTTTTGCCCCTTTGCAACTCCACTCACACTTGTTTCCAAAATCTTTCCTTTTCCTGTCTGCTGCAAAGTCTTTTGGAATATACAATTTTTTGCTAAACTAAAACTGTTCACACCAGTAACCACATATTTAGAATACAGCATATCAGATATCACTATAAGGGAATATTTATGCTTGCCTGCCTGCCTGCCTGCCTGCCTGCCTGCCTGCCTGCCTGCCTGCCTGCCTGCCT